TTTATTATACTTGCACAACTTAAAAAATCAAATTTTGTATAATTGAATATGTCTAGTTTATGTTTATCAAAAAAAAAATTTTTTTGACAGGGGGTTCCGGAAGTACATTTTGCTAGTCCATGACCCATATATATATCGCAGGGAAGCTCCGAGAAAAAAATAGCTTAATAAAGCAAGCATTGAAAGAAAATTTATCCGGAGCCGATTGTGGACTATGTTATTGTTCACACTATTTCCTTTTCTGGAATTCAATGGTTGAACTCCCAACTAAGTAATTTTAATTTAAAAATTCTCAAAAACATCACATCATAATTTTAATAGGATTTTTGTTAGGAAGCAAACAAATCATGTTTGAATATTAATGAGGTTTTGAATAAATAATTATTATTTGTGGTTTTTTAGGGGGTATTATATTATTTATAAATTATCTTTCATTGAAAAACATTTTCGTAACACATCTGGAAAAAACCGAACCTTTTAATATACAAATCATTAAAAACTTTTACTTCACAACAGGTTTTTAAATAAAATAAGATGTTTATTAAAGCATTTCTTTATTCCGGAGCGTTTACGTATATAGTTTAATAATAATAACGTATATGTATATATATATTTATTTATAAAAACGAAGAACGTTTTCTATAAAAAATTGGATCGACATAAATGACGGATATCTCCGTTACAGAAAGTTTAAAAATTTAAAGATATAAATATCAGTCTTCCAACAGCAACAATCAAAAAATATCAACAAATTCAATATTCGAAAAATGCCTTCAAACAGAACTTCAAACATTTTTGCACTTATTAACAATGATGGGATACGATCTCCAAGAAGTATGATTCAAAAAAGAAGACGGAATCGGCATAAAAGACACCAATATGTAAATGTTCAATACTCCAATAATGACACAATGATTCGAATCGCAAACCTTCCTACGCAAATTACAAATGATCCATATATAAATGCATTTTTCAATGGATATTCGTTTACCTAAGACTAATTTTTATCGGCAAAAATTTACATTTCATATCTTAAACATGCGTTTTTCTTATGTGGCGATTTCATCCGACGTTCCTGTAAAATCTTATAGCTTTGAGTATTCACAGAATCCATCTCGTAAATTCTTATATTATCGCTGTTTATTTTCGCTGTTTTGGATAAATAATTTCGTCAATTTACTTATTCTCATTTATGTTAAAAATATGCAAATATTGATTTATGAAAAGTTGGGTTTATATGTTATGTTATATAAGGAATTAGGGATTATCTATATTGCGGTTATACCTTATTATTTAAAGCAAATATACATTGATTTTCAACTTCTTTTCTTTATAATATATGATTTGAATAAATATGAACTCTTTCTTCGTTTACCAAACTAATACTGTATCTGGAAGCTCATTTTTAGTCTTATTTTTTTTTTTAACTAAACTCGCAAATTTAAACTATTTTTTTTTGTTATTTTTGATTTTCATTGCGGACAACGTTTCATTTCTCAAAAGTATTTACAAACCAAATTATTTAATCGGTAAAACATTATACTACGTATCTGAACAAAATTTTATTAAGGAAGTATACATATTCAACTTAATAAGGTTCACGTAACGGGGACCCGGCCAACGGTCACTGCAGTAACGAATACTGCGCCAGGACTAAGGTTTCGATCCCTAATCCGGATTAAATTTTTTAATCCGGATCACAATCCGTTTATATCCTTTAATCTGGATCACAATCCCTTAAATCCGTTGTTCGGATCATATTGATCCGGACGGTTTGTTTATTTATTCACACTAATCGAAAAAAAATTTTTTCCCACATTCCCATACTCTCACTAAATTTTATCCGTATGTCTACCTTTTCTGCAACAACTATTTCGAAACATAATGACGAAGAGAAAAGTAAGTACATACGACTGCGTTAAATCTATATCATTTTTCTCAGTTATTAACTTTTGTCTGCAGGAAGGAAGAAGATATTTAAGATACCCAAATTTTGAAGTTCTTCGGAAAGAGTGGTTCAGGTTTTTGTCATTATTAAACATTCCAGAGTCATTAAACGAACGATTTCATTCTCAATAAACGTTTAATGATACAGCTTCCAACCTCCTGAGGCACTAAATCCGACTACGAATGTAATTTCCAATCCACCTGAAACAGTTGAGTCCCTTCGCAAATATAAAAAAAGATCAGGACAAGCGCAAAAGTTTCTGGGTAAGGTTAAAATTTTCTCTGAATGTACTAGTAATATATATTGCAGTTACCTTGATATTGTTTCTAATTAATGCCTTTGTAGATCGTGTGGGCCAGAACTTCAGGTGGCCTGCTTCAATGAATGAGAACGACAGAGACACGGCATTCATTTATTTGACTGACGAATATGCCCTGGAATTTGATGACGAAACAGGGCTCAACCTTATCTTCTTCTTGACAATATCGATAAAGGAACATTTTATGAGAAAAAGGACGACTGGGTGTTGGTGTTTATACAAGAAGTGAAGAAATACGGATCAGAATATACGAGCAAGGAATTAGTTGACCTCGAAGAAAAAATGCCTGGCGCAATATATTTACCAGTTGATAATTTGCGTCATAATAATGCTACGAAACCTCCACCAGAAAGAACAGTGCCTGCTCATCGCGCTACTCAGGAACACATGGTCTGAAATATTTGTCATTGTTGCAAATCAGTACCAATCAGTACCCATTTCAGTGTCATTTAGTGCAAAAATTAAATATGTTTTTTTTTTATATTTTACAATAAAGATTAGAGTAAAGGTTAGAAGGTTAGGAACCACAAAGACAGTTACACTCGAGCTTAATTTTAATGATCCCGCCGAAGGTGGTAAACTTTATAAGACTGTAATTGCTTCAGGTACGCAAGAAAGGACCCTTCCTTACCATGTCCGTCGTGTGCTTGGAAGAACGGGATGGCAAATTAGAAAAATCCAAGCAAACGGATATGGATACCCTGCTTATGTTTATTATGCAACCACAGCATTTGAAATTGCTATCGGAGATAATAACGGATGGAGTAAGTGGGTGAATACAAATACACTCAGAGTTTGGCAGTCGGAACCCGGTGATCACATAGAAAGGTCTCTTGTTGGAACTGATGTCCTCGATCAGTTTTCCTTCGTACACGAGCCAAATCAAGGATTTAAATTTTTAAGTGCAGCTGACGAGGTTACTTTTAACCAATTATTTGGCTAGTCTTCCATAAAATTCGTAGATCTAGTAAATTATCATCGTGTATGTACCACCACTAAATATATAAACAATATAACATCAATTTTCTTTATATACAAAATTTTAATGAGAAAGATCTTTCACAGTCCCGGCTATTGTTGGGATAAAATCGATTATGTTGTGAGAGAGGTTTGTTGTTGAAGCGTTTTTTCGCATATCACATGACCGTAAAGTTAGTAACACGTTAAAAATTTTATATGTAAATCGTAACGATGTTATTGGCTGGTTTTTAAGGAATAATATTTATATTCGGGTCGTCGGGTGAGTTGAGTATTGTAATGTATCAGTTGGAAGTAAAAAAAGAGAAGATGCAAAGAAAAGACATAAAAATTCAAGTAAACCAACAAATGACTGTTAATACCACTAGGGATGGTTTCGGAAACTCATTGTTAAGTCCGGAGCACAAGTGTAACGATGCCAAGTTGTCCTAATTAAATTTTTAATAATTTGCTTGCGCGATATTCATAACTTCATAATTTTTATGCTATAACTTCGTTAATTTCGTTGTTTTAATATTTTTTATTTATTTTTATTTTACCGATTATTATTTTGCGTTTATTTGAGCTGAGACAACACTGATTAATAATTTTATTGAATAACATTTACATCATAATTATTCAATTGCTTACATTTAAAATATATAAATACATAAACGAAAGAAATGAATACAACAGCATTATATTTCGAAGTCACGAGATAAAATTTTTAATATAAAACTTTTTTGATTAAAATTTAAAAGTGACCCGGTCGGATGACGTGAACCGAAAAATTCTAATGTGCGTTGCCTAATAAAAAAATAATTAATAGAATTATTACTTACATGAGACATAATTAATTATTTTTAATTCAGACGATTATTATTTTTTATATTGTAACTAGGACAAAAGGTATTAATATCTTTAATCAATTTTTCCTTGCAGAAAATAACTTAAGGAATTGATTCAATATAATTGATATAATTTCATGAGGGTAAGCGTTATTTCCTAATGAATTTTTTGTAGTCAATTCAATTTTACAGTGTCCAATTTTAAATTATGCGTCCGAAGCGTCTCCCAATTCACAAATCTCAAAATACATCACTTAAAAAAGTATTATGTAAACAAAATGCACACTTCAATACGTTACACCTGATTTCGGTTTCTGATTGGCCATATCACGCGTGCGGACAAAAAAACACATGCATGGTTTGCAGTAGAATGGAAGTGTCTTATGCTTACGCTTCGGACAATAAGTAAAATTTTTTTATTTTTTTATGAATTTCTAAATCAATTGCGGCTTATCATTCATCGATTTTCCGTAGAGAATCCTTTTACAGAGCCTCAAAAGTTTATGCATATTTTTTTTTTGCAATATTTATTGAGATTTTTATTAAATAAGAAATAAAGTTATATTAATAAAATTTCTCTTTAAACTAATTATTAAGATATATTATTAAGTGGAAACATAGGATTTTAGTAGCATCATTGAATAGTATAAATTCCATATTTATTGCCTTATGATGGTTTTACATTACCGAATTTTCGGACTTCAAAGAAAAGCTTTACAACACAGAACAATCTTCGATATCATGATTTATTTATAGAATTCTTATTCAAAACCTGGATCTACAAATATTTTTATGGTATTGGGAGCTCACATCCATTTAATGACGTTTTTATTCTTGATGGGATTTTCAAATATTTTTATAGAAATAGGACAATTTGTTGATATGATTATTTCAAATTTTTAATATTTTGTATAATAATTATTTGATATATATGTAATAGGCGCAATACGATGATTGCGAAGTAATTTATATTGACGTTCAAGATTATGAGGATATGCAGGAACTACGCGTATGAATCAAAATGATATTTACTAGATGCTTAGATTGTATAGTCTATGATGATGTTGAATATTCTATTCGAAAAAAGGATAATACAGATAAAATATAAATGAATTTGACATCCTTTAAAACATGATGATCGTTAATGCTGACCAAATTATAAAAAAAAAAAATATTCCTGATGCAAATGATAAAAGTTACATCCATTTCACTTAGGAATAAATTTTGAAAAAATTTTCAATTAAGTCCCTTTTACCAGTATTTGCAGTACAAAATTTAGGACCTTGCTACAATTACTGCAAAATGGAAAGACAGGAGTAAATAAATGGAAAAAGCAATGAGAAGGATAATTTTCAAGTAGCATTAATATGAGATTCAAAAAATAATATAACATCATTATTTCTTTTGTTTAGTTAGTTATTAAAGATCTCGTTTCTTTATTCGTGATTTCTTTCTTTTTATGATAATACCTTTTTATTAAGAAAATTATTTTATAATCACTGTTCTATTTACGATTTCTTTTTATCTATTAGTCAAAATTGACGACGTTAGAGGAGGACAGAAATTTGTCGTGAAATTTTAAGAGTGCCTGATTAATAATGGAAACTGGTTAAAATTAGCCAGAAATCAAAATGGTGGCATCAAAAAATGTCACAAAATTGCTGGCATCATTTAGTTGTGGCGCTCATGTGACGTATTATGTGACGAATAGATTTTTAACTAAAAAATTTTCTATCACCATAATAGTTAGTAAAAAATGAGATGAGACACTGGTGACAAAATATATTACATAAATTTTTGTGATATTTTTTGGGTACGCAGGGAACATCCTGCGGAAAAAAATACAAAAATAAATGTTATAACAAATATGTATGTCATATTAAACATGTATGCTAGAAAAAAAAAATATACTATACAGTCCCTGGCGAAAGAATGGTGATGAGGGTGGCACGCTACTTTGAATATAGGAACAGCATTTTCCGATTAAATTAAACTTATATAATATCAAATGGGCTTTACTACTTTAAAAAGAAATCATAAAAAAATTATATTCTAATAGTTGTTTTGTGCTCATTTTACCCTCTAAATTACTAAGTAGTTTTAAATTTATTATAAATCGGAGCTTAAGTAAATTGCTATAAATTTTCTTAAATGCACACTCGTTTGACGCTATATCTTAATGCTGGAAAAGTAGGAGAATTTATATTTTTCTTTTCACATTATTGGAATTGGACGGCGTCACGTAAGAATTGATTGCTGCGCCTTATAATTGCGGTCCTGATTTTTTTCCCGCTACTTATATTTTCTCATTCCTGCTATTTTTATAAATACCTATTTCTAAAAAGTATTAAGGACTTTCTACATGATATAAGGACCAAGACTAATTCATTTAACCCTTTTTATGAGATACAACGTTGTAAAGAATCTCTGCCTTTCGCAAGCAAGGGATCAGCATTAGAAAGGACCTAATTTGTCGAATAGAATCACAACAAACGAACTTTGAAATGACGTAAGGAAGATTTCTCAACTAATAATAAATATTGAAGTGACAGTTTTCCTAAATGAAATATTGGGAAACGTTGGATAAAAGAGTTCTAAATGCAAACAATTTGTGATTCCTTTGCAGAAACTTTAAATGTTAACAAAATACATTGGGCAGCAGTCTGTCGGAACATGATTTCTTTACAGCTCTAGCCTAAAGTAGCTATAGCACATGTTGGTCGGACGCTTATCAAACATACTCTTATACTTGCCACTCATGGATTAATGATTAGATTTGTATTGAAAGTAAGCTTTAATGTGTTTATTATTACCCTTTTTTAGTGTCCAAGGATGTGATATTTTGATTCTTAATAACGTCTTTTTGCATCAGAAGTTATAAATGAAAGATGCAATTAATATCAAAGTCATGGTCTTGAGATCGGCAAGTTTACAGATCGGTTACACGAATACCTCCTTGGGATGGGACGGTCCATTTCGGTTCCATTTCGGTCCCTCTTCGGTTCTGCTTCGACTCTCCTAAAGTAAATTAAACTTTGAGCGCGTTAAATTAAATTTAAACAAATAGAGCATGTGATATCAAATAAATGTTTTATTGGTTAAAAACGATTTGTAACTTAGACAAGCTCAAATATGCTGATTCAGAATAGGTTCCATAACCGACTCGGAGTCGCTCTTTTTGAGCCGTCCCCACCCCTAGTTCCAAGCTCAGCTTAATAATCTTAACGAAAATACTTTAGATTCTTTGGAATAGCTGAGCG